AAAAGAGAGAGAGAGAGAGAGAGAGAGAGAGAGAGAGAGAGAGAGAGAGAGAGAGTCATGCAGCCTTGTAAATGAGGACCATGAATAAGGGTGTAATTTACAGAAGAGATTATAACAACAATAATATTAAATAGAAAAGAACCTTCTAAATACTTTCAGTTTCATCTGCATCTTCGAAGAACCAACAAAGACTAAGCGTGTATGGTCATCAGAATGAAGAGGTGCTATATTACTAAAGAGAAAGCTGCTCAAGTTAGAAGGAGAGAGTATGTACAGTTAGCTTAGTAGTCATGCACTCCATTTTCAATGGCAGATAGCTTCATATCGAGAAATAAAACAAATTTTGATCAGTATATTTGTATGGAGAAATTAGCGATAAGGGAGTACCTTGATGTGAACAACTTCACCATCCTCAATTACCAAGACCTTTTTGGTATGTTCAACCAAAGCATTAGCATCACTGGACAAGAATAATTCTTTCGGTTGCCCATTGCTTGAAGGAAATTTAGCATCACTAAATGATGATTCTGCGGAGGCCTCTTCTTCTAAGTCCTGGAATCAAAGAATTTTAGACACTTGTTAACTTGGGAACCTATGGATTGCACGATCAAGTAAATTTCTTCTGGTGACCATTTAGGTGAAATCCATCCCTATATGAATGTAAAATCCTAATCCAATACAGCTCTACGTTATGGAATAATAGGATGGTAGCCTAATCTAAGATAAATCAAACCTGGATACCAGTTTGTACATATAGAAGTTGATATAAGTATTTTTATACTACTGGATGATGTTAATTCTTTTTTATTATTGAATAGTCACACACCATTCTTGCAGTCCTGTGGATAAAAGGCAGGAGAGGTGATAAACTGGATTTCTACTGGTAAAATGTGGGACTGACACAAAGCTATAAACAAACTTGTGAAAATCAGACTAGACTCTATTTTTATGTGATAACCCAAAGAAATTTAGCATTTCCTTCATGGTTGAACAAAATAAGAGGGTAGCAACTGTATAAAAGACACAAGAGCCAAGCTTTTAATGATTCGACAGGCAAAGAATAATGCATCTTTCTTGTAAACAGAAAGTCTATTAAAGGGAATCTAAAGATTTAAAGCATGTACATATCAGATTCATCCAAAGTACAGGTTAACTTACTTTTACACCAAGAAGAAGTGGACTACCACGCTTGCAAGCAATTAATTCATTTGGGTAATGTCGACTTTTAAATATGAGGGCATAGGCTCCTTCCAGATGCCTAATTACCTCAAGCACAACTTGACTGAATGTCACGCTCTGGTCACCTGAGATGACAGTCTAACAGTTATTCTACTGGTAAACTATTTTATGCTTTATGCGGAAAAAAAGTCAAAGAAAAAAAAAAAACTAAACCGGAAAAGACGTTCCACAATATCCAGCAAAAATAGTGAAGGAGAAGTTATCTGAAATGCAACTGATTCATTTATCAAATAAGACAACCAAAGGTCTTAGAAGTTATTCAGTTATCAGTTGTGGACTTGTGGCTGAAGAAAAGCTTCTCAAATTCCCAACTAGCTAACAGACAACTCCTACAGGCCAATGAATCAACAAACAGAGTATGTACTGACGTGATAGAAAAGGGTTGATCAAGAAGAAGCAAAGAGTAATATATTTATCGTTGATGCATTGAGGTGACGATAGATGAAATAAAATCTGTGAAGAATAATTGTTGGAGAAAGCCAAAATAAGTGGAATCATTGGAATGACGGGCCCAATGTTACAAGAGATCAGAATTAGAAAACGAAGATATTACAGCTATCTAATTCTGGCTAACATGGAGACTAAAAAATATAGATGAGTCACTTAGCAAAAAGAAAAATAGTTTGAACTGATATCGTATCATGGTCAATGAATACTGTGCAGTTTATTACATAAATTTGAATGCTAGAAATATTAAATTGTCATTAGCAGAAAATTTCGACTAAATCAAGATGGACAAAATGTAATTAAAAAATGAAAAGAAAAAGAAGATGAAGAAAGGGCAGTTCGATGCACAAAGCGTCCCGCGTTCACGCAGGGTCCGGGAAAAGGCTGCACCCCAAGGGGTATTATGTAGGCAGCCTACCTGATGCAAGCATCAGTGGCTGATTCCACGGCTCGAACCCGTGACCTATAGGTTACACGGAGACAACTTGACCGTTGCTCCAAGGCTCCTCTTCTAAAAAGAAAATGAAGCCAAGTAAAATTTGTGACAGAAAGAGTTTATAACTAAATCAATCACACATTGCAAAATCTCTCTCTGACGAAACCTATTCCATAGCTATAAAAAGTTAACTAATGAGGAGGTAAGAAAAAAGATTCAAACATAGCGAGATTACTTTAGAGAGGTACCACAAAGAAGTAAATTGACCCATCTTGCAAGAGAAAAAGAACACCCAAGAAGAAAGATAGTACATTCAAGAGTTAAAATTTGCTATTTGAAACTTGATGCTATAAAAACTAATTGCGAAAGGAAACAGCAGAACCCATTAATTGATTTATAAAAATAAGAGAACCAATTAAATAACTTATCACTCTTTCTTTGGGAGTTATTATCAATATTTAATTTTTAAGGCAATGATATTGATATCTGAGTTGTCGTGTAAGTCACTGTGTGGTGTATCTTTACTTCAGTATTAGATCAACAGGGCTAGCCCTTAACCATAAACACTGGCTGCATTAGTAATTCCATGGACTATTCTCCTTATTGTACTTTCTGATTCCAGGACTTTAGCTGCCTTTGATCTTTTGGACTTCCAAATAATTTCTCCTAAAATATTCTTGCTCTACATCCTAGTTCTGTAACTGCCTAGCTGGAGATTCCGTTGCATATCATCACCGCTAGGCAGATCACAGCAGGTTGCTAATGATCTATGTCAAAACTACATTTAAAAATGTACCTCGAGAGAAATGTGCTTTGAAGAAAACACTACAAACCCAGCGAACACAACAATGATGGTCATGCTATTCCCAAATTTCATGGTCAAGGGAGCGAGCAGAAAGAAAAAGGACTAGCTGAGAAGTGTTGAAAGTATGTATTCCGAACAGTCAACTGGGTGTAACTTTACTTACCTTCTTCATTAGCTTTATCAAAGACAAATTTCGCAAGCTTTGGAATTACTTCCGTGTCTGTTTCAGACTCAAAGGTGAAACCATGTCGGAGAAGGGTCTCTTTCAACACCTGGATAATCAAAAGACCGCAAAATGCATAAGCGCATAATACAAAAGGAACAAGTGCACATAAAAGTGATCAAGAAATACCTATATGCATAAGAGAACGAAAATGACTGAGGTATAACATAGCCGACGGTCATTAGTTATTTGATTTTAGGATTTCGCAGTTATATGCAAAAAATCAAAGAAAAGAAAAGAGAAACTTTGAAACGACATACTAAATCAAATAAGAGAGCACTTCAAGTAACCAAATCGACATATTTTCCAGAAATGATACACCATATATCTTTCAAGTCCAAACCCATTTATCAGTTAAGGTGAAAAATAAATGAGTCGCGACTCATTGAAAGGAAACATGGAGTTATTAGAAAACAAAGTTTTCCACAATAGACAGAAAATAGCAGCCAAAAACATTGTGGGCAAATCAGCAGACCGTGAAAGAAAATAATTAGGTCCTGGTGGAAACAGATGGAACACTGTAGTTAGCACACTAATAAGTTATAGCTGATTCTCCATCTGGTAATCCTTAGCACCATCATCCAGAGACTTCTCAGGCTGTGGTTAAATACTGCAACCACTCTAAGAAGTCCAGTTTCTTGTACAAACTAACAGCAGTAAGATCCAGAAAAGACCAGGCAATGCAATACCGTAACTATACTTCCTAAGCAGCTGTCATCAGTTGGTTTAGTATGGATAATAGAGCTCCTCCGCAATAATTTTTTAGCTAAGGTAACAAATTTCATTAAAAAGGGACAAAACATGTCCGTATACAAGGAGTATACCTCCGCAATAATAAGGCTTACATGACTAATCTGGATAGACTTTCCAAATCAAGGAAAGGTAATTAATGGTGTATCATGGCCCTCACCACCAAACCAGAGTGGGAAAAGGGGCAAAGTAAATTAACTAAGGACCCGGGATAATGCCAGAGTATATTCACCTAGTGCATATTTCTCTGAGCAATAACTGCATGATGCCATGATCTACAAGGGATATTCTGCGCTGGCAGAAATTAGCATGTTCTTCTTTCCTTCCAACTATGTTCTGTCAATAACAAGGGATATCCCATACTTGCATGTATCAGCAGCTTCTCTCCTACCAACTAAATTTAGATGATGTAGAAAGGAAAGGTATACAAACTTCTACCATCACCATCCAATAACTTCAAATTATCAAGAATGGGTAGTTGCCTACTTCATTTTTTCTTTTGTATTTTTGTTTTCGATAAGTAATGCGCCTTACGACTTCATACTTTCCTAGAGTTTGGTAATTTCAAATGTTCAACATGACAGTTCTAAAATTCAACAGCAAAAAGATTTTACAAGAAAATGCTAACTACGTTGTGCTAGATCAAGCTAAAATCAGCACACAAAGAAATTCAAGGTGAAAATACATTAGTCAACTTGGATATAGTTCCCTCTAATTTTTACTTTTAAAAGAATCTTTCAGGATTCAGACAGAACCACCAAATTCTAAAAAGCGAGTTACTTACTAAGAATATGCGACACATAGCAAAAACAGTAAACCAATTATAACTAATAATCTTACAGATGCACAATAAGCAAATAATTATCATTTGACACACCATTCTGCCGAGTAGAAAGAGAATAGAAACCAAAAGTTAACCATCCAGAGCAGGACTCGGCCTTAGAAAATGAGAGTAACAAATAAGCAACTGAACTAATAACTGAATGTACAGAAACCCAGGAGGAAAGAGTCGCAGGAACCTCGTAATTGGTGATAACACCATTGTGGACAACCAAAAACTCATTTCCAGCATCAGAACTCTGAGGATGACTATTCCTAGGAGCAGGCTCCCCATGTGTGGCCCACCGAGTGTGTGATATTCCAGCATGAACAGAAAATGATTCTTCCAGATTCAAATCTGTAGCAGCAACGTCTGAGCAATTGAACTCAATGTTAGGGTCACAAAATCATACTCAATCACTGGGAATGTGAGTGTGTAAAGGCAGACTCAGATAAGAAACATTTCAGAGAGTCTATAACCACATTTGGATGTCATAAAACGACAATTTCCTCCTAGGTACTTTATTTTTGGATAACCGAGAAATCCCCTATGGGTTAGCTGGTCCATCCCTAGTTGGCACACAGGTGCAGTCTTGACCCACCGCTCTGCCCTCGTCCCACTTAAACTCCTAGCTTTAGTTAGAAAATCGTGACGTGTGCCTACTGCACATCCCGCGTATTACCTTTTTAGCATTGAACTAAAGCTCTGGGGGCTTCTACGTACAATCATTCTCGTAGCCAATAATTGAGTTATCTTGCAGATGCAGCACTTAGATTTGCAACCATCCTACTCAAGATCATTATTCCCATCATATATCCAACTAGTCCACCATCTCTCAGCAACTGTACTTCTTACTTTCAATACCTTATAGCACAACAATTTCACATACTTAACCTCCCCTTCTCCTAGAAGAATGTATCCATCCACCTACTGAGTTGGTCCACCACATTTACCAAGTGATATAATTCATTACAGTACCAACTAGAAGTGTGAATATTAGTTGTTGATAACAAATTGAACTAGAACAATAACATAATTAAACCCATCAAGTTAAACCTTTTCCCTAAATAGACTATTTTTAAATTCCTGCTTTAGCTTTTCTTCTCATCCCAGACTCCTCCAAAACATAGAAGAAGAAGCAGAAAAAAAAAAAACAGGATCAGTGCATGGAACATATAACAAAATTAGTGGGATCATCAAACTGATCCTAACTTAGAGGTGATAATATTATTTGTCTAGTAACAAATTGCAACAATTAATTACAAATTTTAAACTCAGCAAATTAAACCCTTTCCTTAACAAAGTATCAAAGTACTCCTATTCCCTTAAGAGAAAATTAAAACATGAAATAAAAGATCCAGATTAAAGCATAAATTATTAACAACAACAAACTTAAACCCAGAAAGTTAAAACCTTTATTTAATAAAACTACCGTAACATTCTCAATTTAACTGTTTTTTCATCCTAAACTCCTCCAGAAATAATAATAATTCCATGAAGGGATTTTTTTTTAAAAAGATGCCAAAATAATTAAGAGGACGCAGATCAATACATGAAACAAATCAGCCTAAACCAAAAGGACATAGCCAGAAACCAAAATAATTAAATTATGGTTGTACCTTGGTAGACAGATTTGACAAGAGATTCAATATTGCCTTCTTGACGAAACACAAGAGGAGGGGAATCAGAATCAGAATCAGAAGAATCAATGGAAATTCCAGCTGAATCATACCCTCTGTATTCTAAACGTCTCAACCCATTGAACAGAACTTCTAGAATGTAGCGTCTCTCTCTGGTGACATTGTAATTCAGGTACGCAAATATTCCACACATTCTAGGAGGAGAATCTTGTACTAATGTTTACTTCTTTTCTAGAGAATTTTGATGAAATCAAGAAAGGATGGTTGATTTGGAGAGACATATATATACTAGTGAGATGTCGAGTAACAGGAAAGCACATGGGAAAGAGGAGGAAAGGTAACGAGATTTGACTATTGACTTTTCTCCGTCGTTTCGGATTTCAACAGATCATTCCAACAAATAAAGTTGTAACACGTCACTTCTCGCCAACGAAACTCCCACTTGTGACTCGTGACCATTTTTCAATTTTACAACTTATCTGTCAGTCTCCTTTGTTCCAAATATTTTTGAATGCTATAACGAATTGCTGTTATAAAAATTTTATATTATAACAGAACATAAAATTTGGTTCCGAAAAAACTTGATTTTTATAGTAAAGTTCTATTATATAAAAATGCAGTTATAGAGATGTGTGACTGTACTGATAAATAATATAAATGTTGTCACCATATCATTAGCTTTTTATCCAATAAAATTACTAAACTACTCTCAAAGTCTATATGAGATTTTTGGTCAAAATGGAATTACTACTCCATATCAATACTAGGAGACAACAAGAAGTTGGATTTTCCTCGGGATTATAGTCCCAAGAAAGAAGAATAATGCATATTATTCTTTATTATATTAGTTTTTTTTTTCTTTTTTGTCCATTCCTTATTCGATTAGTGAGTAATAATGTAATATGTTTTGTTGCTATGTTTTGCTATCAGAGCTATTAGATTTATATGATGAAACACGATTGTATTCATCAGGTCTAATATCATAAACAAAAATCTTCTTTGCTTTGAAGTTCTTTTCAATCGCCTTTCTGTCAGCATCATTGTATTCTTTCCTCGTCTTTGGGACAGTTCGTGTTCCCTCTTCAACAGCTTTCATGGGAACAAAAGGACAATAAAAAATCACATCCCAAAGCTCTAAGTCCTCAACCATGATGAAGTCCTGCATTCTCGTTTTCCACCATCCATAGTACTAGCCGTAGAATCTTGGTGGTCTTATGGTTGATAGTCCTTCCTCGAGGTTTGGTGGAGCAGCCATGATAAAGATCATTTTTAGGTGTTAACCTTTTATAAAGAACCTGTTTTGATACCAGATAGAAACTAATGGTCCACCAAACAGTATAGAGAACTGGTTCTCTATCAGTTCCCACAGTAAACAAACAGTAAGTAAAGTACATACGATATTTACGTGAAAAACTCCTGCTCAAGGGACTAAGAACTACGACCTAACCCAGTCTAATTTCAACTCCACTAAACTGAGCAAACTTCATATTTCAATCTAAGAATTAAACTACTAATCTCTCACCCCTTACAATAACTCTATTGTAAGCCATTTGCAATAACTCTATTACAAAGCAACATTATTGACTAACTATAGTCAAACAACCAAAACAATAATGGTTAAATGATGTCCTACAAAATACTTCTAGAAAGCCGTATAGGAACACAAATAAAGAACAAAAGACAAAGACACAACAAACTTAAGGACTTAAGACATCTTTAGTATTGGGATATGGTCCTTGGTTTGTAGCAACTTTGTTCATGAGTGCACCTGGAGAAAACAGTGGCGGCTAGCCTTTGAGATGATAGGTTTTTCAGATTATCAAGTGTTAGGTCAACTTTTGTATAATATAGTTTATATTTGAGAGAGCATGTGTGAAGAGATAGGGACATTACACCTTTTGGTTTGGCCTCTAGCAGCAGTGATTGTGCCACTGCACTGCTACCAGTCGGTAGAGTGAGACAGGTTTTACAACTGTAGAGTTGACTGTACGACAGTTGAGGAACTAATCCTATGTATTCCCTTATCTATTTCCTTATCTAGTTTCTCGAGAGTTCGGCCAGACAATTGCCTGGCCCAAAAGTTAGATATGGGCTTAGACAATTAGATTTAATAAAATAGAGTCAATCAATATTAATGTCCAAAAAATATAAATTGATTTTGTAGTGAGATAATACATATATTATCGAAGTGGCGATAAATGTTGACAACACTAGCAAAATTCAATGATCCAAAAAGGAAGGAGATAACATTAATTAAAAATAAATAACAAATAATTGCACTTAAATAAATAAGAACATGTGAGTCACCCGAAAAGGATGAGATTCGTGGATGTTCTTTCTGACAATGATGAATGATTGATGAACCATTGAATATTCAGATATTTCTTGGATTATGTGGGAAAGTTAGGCAATAATCTTAAGAAAAAGGTATATTTTGCATGTGTGCAATATAGCAAGATTCTACATAGAATGTCAATGTGTTCTTTTACAAGCTAATATTTCATGTCCACTATAATTAGGTCTTTTTCTATTTATAAGAGAACATGTACCTAAAAACCCTAATAGTACATGTACAGAGAATATTCACTGGAATATTCTCGATAGTGTCTTATCCTAAAACTAGCCATTTTTACCCCATCTAAGATGAGTGCTCGTCCTCGACCTTGATTTATGGTGACTCCTTGACCTCGCCCTTCATCTCTTGTGAGACCACTTCGACCTTGGGCAGACCTTTGTCGAAGTCATACTGGTGACACACGGTAGCCCTTGAAGGCCTTCGTAATGCTGATATGATCTTATCATATCAAAGATAATTTTTGGCACATACAATTAGTCCCCCCGCTTGTTGAAGTCGTGCTCGCATGCAAGTTCAATAAGTGGATAATGTCATTTGTGGTTGAACTTATTGAATAGACCACATGGGTTGTAGTCATCGTGGCAAGCAAGCAACGTGGCCCTCTGTGGGCTACGTATTTCAAATTCCTCAAATTTTAGGGTAACTTGTTGAAGCCATCTAGTCCAAGAGAAAAGGTAATGTCACGACGGCATGTGTCATGATGATGCTAATTCCCGACTCGTTGCTTCGATTTGTGCCTGACCTTTGATTGGATCTACTGTTTTGATTTTGGTGCCAATTATGATGAGCTGTTTCGGGTTTGGTGCCCATTAAGACAAAACGTTTTGGATTTGGTGCCTTAATTTTTATAAATAGGGGTTGTCAAACCCAAATTTGGAATTTTAATCCCCCAAATTTTTGAGATATCAGACCTCTTCTTTAAACTTTCTTTCTATGCTCCATTGCGCTATACTGTATTCCAATATCTCTTTCTAGTATTCTTCTTCATTATCTCAAAATATGTCAAACCTATCATCAGATACTGGTGAGGGGAGTTGCGTTGCTCCCTTAGCAGTTGTGTTTCCTACTCATGAAGAGAACGTTTCTACTATTGCTAAGGATGAAGCTTTCCCGTCGGTGTAGGAGATACTCCCTCGCAACCCTGAAACTAGGTTTTAACAACAAAATGATCCGATGGTCTTTCCCGATCAACACTTCCAGCCTCGGCATCGTCCCCGTGGATATCCTTGTGTGCCAGATGATCCTTCCCAGTGCCACTTCACTCCACGGAACTCCCAAAATCGTACATCACTCTCCCAGTACCCAGCTCCACAAAATGCCTATCCACCCCCACGAGCCTACCGAAAACCTCCTAGATCAGGTTTCCGGCCCAATCAAGCATTTAAGAATGAGAGGTTGCTGAAAAAAGAAAAGGCTTTCACCCCATTGGGAGTGTCATA